ATAAAATCTAGCATTTCACGAACCTGCTTAAAAAATCTTGCAGATACAATATCAGTAAGGGAAGTTACCACTGCTCGTATTTTTAGAAAAGGTGAACTTACCGATAATCTTCCTAAAGGAGAAATCCCATCAATTTTATACAAAGAGTAACGTCACCTTCTCCTTACAGTAAAAATTTGTTTTGGCGCATATTCTTATCTAACCCTAGAAAATAAACAGGAAAAATTAGTTAAATGTCATACTAGTTTATTTAGAGGTCATAGAGGACTAGTAAGAACTTATAGACGAATGAGAGAAGAATTTTATTGAAAAGGAATGCGCAATAACATTGCTGAATACATCGAAATATGTAAAGTTTGCCAGGAACAAAAATTAGTCTACACAAAAACAAGAGAACCTCTGGTAATTACAGACACACGATTAGAAGTATTTCACAAGGTCGCAATCGATACAGTAGTACATCCACAAAGTACATCTGGAAATAAGCACATTTTAACAATATACTGCTTACTGACAAAATTTTTTATTGCAGTTCCTGTTCCTAACATACAAGCAATAACTATTGCTGATGTGTTATCAATATATTTTGTTTTTACTTTCGACATTTCTAGAATTATTCTCAGTGACGAATCAAAAAGATTCATTAATTAAGTATTGACAGAAGTATCACAAGTTTATAAGTTCCGTTAAGCTCTCACTAGTGCATATCACCCCCAATCAAATGGTTCATCCGAGAGAAGCTACGCTATGTTAAACGATTTCTTGAAAACTATTGCTAAAAACAAGAATGATTGAAATAAAATGGTTCCTTTAGCAATGCATGAGTATAATACTGAAGTTCACTTAGCAACAGGCCTTACACCCTTTGAACTTGTCTTTGGAAGACAGGCACGTTCTCCAAATCCACTTCCAGACGAATTTAAATTAGAAATATACAGCTCATATGCTAGTGACCTGGCCCACTGTTTACATACAATACAAGAAATAGCTCGTGACACACTTAAAATATCAAAACAAAATACAAAAACATGTCATGACAATAAGTCAAAGCCATAGAACATAAAAGTTGGAATTAGAGTCTATGTACTCAAAGAACCCCGAAAAGGAAACTTAGATAGATTTTATAACGGAATTTTTAAAATTAAATAAATTTACAGTAATAACAATGTCATATTAGAATCAGGAAATAAAAGAATAATTACCAAACACATTGACAAAGTAAAACATTGCTACCTATAAAAAAAAAAAAAAATTTATTTCTGTTGCAGATTGATTCGATCAACATGTTGACTACAACATTGCCTTTTTGCTTCTGCTAATATTCGGGTCTGGTATAATAAAAAGCAAAGAAGAGATACCTGCAAAACCTTACGACAACATACTTTTAGTAAATAATCCAAGTATATATTATGAATACACTAACGAAGTCAGACTAATTCGTACTGAATGGCACATTACTATGACGGTAGATTTTGGTAGTATTGAAGACCAAACTGAACTGTATTATAAACATCTAGTACTGTATTTGAACAGTATACTAGAGTACTTGAAAATCAAGAAAGAAAAATTTAATACCAAGATACACGTTTAATAATATGATTCGTTTAACAGAATCAACATACGAAAATTTGAAACTATTTTTTGCACTTGAAATACAAATACATAATAAAGAAACAGACTCCAGAAATATAGTAAAAGTTATTCCTAGCTACATGATAATGAGACGAGCACCACTAGAATTCATAGGATGAATTTTGAAGAAATTATTTGGATCTATGGATGCGTATGATCGGGATAAAATATATATTGGTATGAATAATCTTTACGACTCTACACAAACAATTTCATAAATTGAAATAAAACAGACTCATATTGTACTCATAAATCTCGAAATAATTTAATCGGAATAAGAGAAAAATGGAGGGCATAATAAAAAAGTTATAAAAAATGTGGAAAGTTTAACTGACGAAGCATCCCAATTAGATAATGATAACAGAAAAATTGACTATGAAAAAAAAGTATGAAAATGTACTAACTCTTTCAAAAAATTCCTATTTTTCATCCCTTAAGCACGTTTATTCTATATCTTTTATCACTTTTAAGTGAGGTGAGTACGTGTGCTATGGACAACTTTCGTCATTGATAGTTTGATCAAATTAGCACGTGTATAAATTACGTTTACACCGCTGAGCTCAGAACTATGATATTACATTACATGTTATATCTGTATTTGTGTTTCAATATTTTCTCTAGCGATGTCATACGTAAATAGAGCCTTATTTTACAGCTCATACATGTATTAACTGTGGAGGAAGATGCATTAACTCAGACGTGTTAATTCTTAATCTTTTATCCCTTTCCAGTTTTAAAAAAGTAAATGGTCTATGGGGAACTTCTTTAATACTATCGAGTAAAATGAGTGAAAAAAACATCAGACCCACTTATATGTGCACTTAGCCATGTGCGAAAGCATAATTAATTATTTTTAAGCAAGTGCTAGTTTTCATTGTATGCTACAAACACGTACACTCAGATTTTCTTCGCTACACGTATAGAGGCACGAGAGGCAGATCTGGTGGCCAATCCAGTGCTCGTAGGTATATCTGAGTAGCTTTGTAGGGGGATAAAAGCCCAGAGTTGCTCCGTATTCATAGGGGGATACGAGAGCAGAGTATCTCTGTATCCGTAGGGGCTTATAACTCCAGGTGGCTCCGTATTCTATGACAGGGGGCCCCGTATCACCCTAGCTATACTCTTCTTTGAATCGATTGTTTTGCATACTTACATTTTTCATTAGACAAATAATCAAGAAAAAACCTTTCAAGAACTAAAGAAAGCATTACATAGACATAGACCACTCATACAATTCCCTGATATAAATAAGCCGTTTACCATAAGAACAGATGCATCAAGCTATGCTATTGAAGGTGTTCTATTACAGTAAAAAGATTGAAATGACTCACTTTTTATGCATTAAGAAGACTCAAGCTTAAATATGAGACGTTTGAGAAGTATGCACTAGCGATTCTACATTATGTGCAATTTTTTTGCCTATACATATACTGTTTTGAGCGTACCATGGTCACAGATTACCAACAAAGTGTATGGTTTCACGTGTTAGATCTTAATACACAAAGGCATGAGTGACAACTTAATTTGTTTAAACACGATTACCAAATAATTCACTTTGTAGGTAGATAAAGTTTACCTACAGATGCGTTCTCACGTTATGAAGTAGTAATGAAACAGTTGAAAATATTAACTAGATGACAAAAAGCTTAGCAAGATTTTTGGATAAAAATTACAGAGAAAAACAAAGCTGTCAAAAAAGCCGAAACAAAGTCAGCTGTAGTAATATATGCTACTAGGCAGTAAAAAGAGGGCTTTGGCCAAATGATTCAAAACAAAATTGTTTACAAAAAACAGTTAAGAAAAAACAAGGCTGACTTAGAAAAATAAGAATCTTTGATAAAAATAAAAGAAATTACTTAGAATAAAAGTTAGAGCAAGGAAAGGTAAAAAAAAATTAAACAATCACACTTAGCCAGGGTCATCTGATTATAATATTAATTGAGAAAGTAAAGCTTAAGATCTGAATATTGTTAATGATAAGCCGTTACTTACAAAGAACTCCACAGGTGACGAAATGAGCAACAGTGTACAAAGTGTTAGCAATATCGCTAGCACAACTTTCATTTTTGAAAAACAAAGAGGCCAATTTTTCGCTACGTGTAATAAAAAAATTTTTTCAATATGAATTTATTTACACCTATGAACTAATAATTTATCCAACTAGGAAAACATTTAAAGATAACAAGATAAATCTTTATATAAGTACAGCTCAACACAGCGTTGTAAAGTAAACCTCATTACGCTGATTAACACTCAAGCAACAGCTGAAAAATCAACACCTCAGTTTTCTAACAATGTTAAAAAGTGAGCCAAATATATGGCCACAACAACTAGTGACATCATACTTATAATAAAGCATTGTTTATTAGAAAAAGCTTTCACAAAAACTGGAGACTGCTACACTAAGCTTCTGGTAAAGAATAACGGATCCTTTATCTTTCATACACCTAAAACACGCATATAAAAAATTTATGGTACAAAAATAACATGTTACCGTATTCTTCCGTAACTGGATAGAATTCATAATAAGTGGTACCAAGTATGAGGTACTTTAATAGGAGTAAAGCTAACTAAGGATTTAAAACTTCTGACATATTCTATTGTGCCAAGCCGTCTAATTTGAAGACTATTGGCATTTATACAGTTAGTGACATGAAAAAACTATGAGATCACATAATGTTTTCAATTAAGCAAAATTTCTCACTCAACGACTAAGCCCGTATCATGCATGGCCAATTATCTAGTCACAAAAAAGGCAAAATATTTTGAATAATAAACAAAGAATCTTGGAAAACAATGGATAACTTAATGTAGAAGCAAATCTTGGATCAACTAACCAAGTTTGGAACTGCAATTTATTAGTTAATATTTTAAAAATAAGTCACAAGCAGGAAATAGATGTAATTTTTGATACTGTTTTTTAATACTGCAAATAACGCTACAGGTAAATTCAATATTACACTATGATCGTAAAAATTTTTCTGCATAAGTTGATTTTCTATTTTATAGTCAATTCATTAAATTGACACTTACGACTAAGCAATACTATCTTATGACTTAGTAATGAATATAGAGTATAAGCAGAATCAAAAAATTATAATGTCAATGTTACAGCTTTTGAAGATTTTTAGTCGTAAAATAACAAAAAAGAATCATTTTATGTAGGCCATTTAAAAACGTAAATTTATTTGTAACGAATAAACGTTCTGAGGTATTATTCTAAAAACTTTTTTTTGAAATGTTTAGTAAAAGAGTAGTGAATGAAATAAGACTAATAAAGTTACTTCTGAAAAGCAATAATTATACTTCAATCATCGATTTTTTTATTGTTATTTAAAACTTATCAGCTGTTTACAACTATCGCTTACCTTATAACATCTTCTTTATGGTTATCATTTAACATTTCTGGCACATAGTTTTTTGAGTCCTCATCATCATCTATAACTGCTACTAAACTTTTAGTTGATAGCTTAAAAAGTATGTCTTTTATAGATGTTGCTGATATAAAGTCTGAAATGCTAATATTTAATCCCTTTTCTCGTAATTTTAAAACTGTATAGACAGAATTCAAAGAGTTTCCACCAAGTTCATAGAAATTAGAGTTTATGTTTACAGAATTTTTTTTGTCAATATTAATGACTGATGCTATTGTAGAAAAAATTTTTTCTGCTGTTTTAAGGTGCTCTTTTGGTACGCCTTGATAATCAAAATTGTCACATAATTTATCATCTGAAAGAAAATTAAAAGTCATTCAGAGAAGAAAGTCTTCAAGATAAGACAGAATAAAGATTTGTATGAAATTATTTTTTGCAGAAAGCTGACGAAAACATGATACTTTAGGATTTAGAATAAAATTGATGTTTGCCCAGGGATTGTTAAAAAATCTACTGGTCATTTTTTTCGTGACAATGATTAAAATAATAGTGGATTACTTATTATTGATGTTTAATGGTACTTTAACTTACGGTAATAGTAATAGAAATACGAGATACGACAATTCTCAAAATTACCTTGTTGCGTATAATTTTTTTTAAAAAAATGAGAACTAGGCAAAGAGCACTTGAACTGGTAATTGAAAAATCAATTTCTGATTTTTTTTGTCTCAGTACTCAGGTTGATATAGAACCATTATAAGTACTTTTCTTACAAGCCTAACTGTCTTTTACTGTCATGAAACTAATAATACTCGAATAGTTAAGAAGAAAAAAAATAAAACTTACATTTCTTTATAACAAACACATTTATGTAAAGCCCGATGTTCCAAAAATTTTACAATTGATTGACACCATTAGATATGATAACATTATCTTTATATCATGAAAAGTAGCATATGTTATGCTGGTTACATTGCATCTTCAAATAATGTACATACATCTGGATAACATAATCTATAGCTTCATTTAATAAGCGTTTGCTTAACACGCAATCTATGGTTAAACGTTTCCTACACAAAAATAGGCATAAGAAACTCATACAAGCTGCGATCTCACAATTCCGCGATTTTTGGTGATTTAGAAAAATTTGACTATAATGATAAAGTTACGTATTGACAACGCATATCACACTAAGTACCATTACATAGTAAATACCCAAGAGTAAAATAAAATCATACTTTTTAATAATAACGTGGAGCAGAGATATGGCTTTTAAACTAAAATACCATAAAAAAAGGAATTTTTGTATGGTTTCATGATAGACGTCAGTTTTTTAAAACTATCTCTAATTCAAAGTTCATACTAATTGTTGTATAATGCACAACAAAGAACATAAGCCAAACCAGGTGATACGATAGTACTATGGTAAAATGATACGGACTTTATACTAGATGAAAACTTACAATTGGTCCTTAGTGTGGCAAATACTTTTAAAGTTTAAGATTGCAAAAAAAAAAAAGTAATAACTTCTTATTTCCTTATGTTACAAGTTTATAATTTTACGTATTGGAATAAATTGTACTTTGAAAGTGAATATCTTAATTAAAAAGCGTAATTAATTTTTTTTAACAACTAAAACCAACACCTTATTTTACTTACAACTGTAATATTTTGTTGGACTTTTTTTACTTACCACTCATGTCTCAAAATAAAAGGTTAACAATTTGTTTAACTTTTGTTTGCTCATTATACTTAAGAGTCTATCTTAACACTACAAAACTAGTAAAATAACATAAAACATTATTAAATAATTTCTACAATTACATAGGAATATGCTGCGTAGTATGCTGTAAAGCAATTGGTTTTTTGCAATTATTTAAAGTTTATTTAAGCTATGAGTAAGATTGAAAAAGTAAAAATCTTACTATTCATGACACGTTTGTTTAAGCCAAATTGCTACATGCATAAGGATCATAAAGAAAAAAAAAGTATTGTTCTGGTTATGCGGGTATCAACCCCACCATTTTCAAAATTACAACTAAAATACTAACTACTGCACTGAAAATACTCTAGTCCTGCCTGAATAGAAAACCACACACATTACATTACCCATACCTGTACAAGTATTGTATATACAGTATTACAGTGATATATTAGGCGAGCAGTATCAGCTACACTTCTGCAGTAATAGAAGGGCATTCCTAGAGATAAGCCGGAGTAGACGTATAGCAGATCGTCAGCAACTGTGTATAGTAATAATTTTGTTAAACCCATATCGCTGATTGTAATCACAGATATAATATGAAATATAATATTTATTAACACGTGTGCTTTATTATTCCAAGTATTCATTAAATATTAACTACTGTCACGTTAATTATAATGGCTTTGGGGCAACGAAAAAGTAAAAGGGACACTGGCAATTTTTATCGTTACCTCTATTAAGTGAGCCGACAAAAGAGCCCAAGTGTAAGTGCAGGACCACTTTAATTTAAGGCCCAATCAAGAGTGGCACTCCGTCCTTCCCTCTCAAGCCCTTAGGATTACTCTTTTCCTTGTCGCTTAGTGACTTCAGCGGTGAGACCACATAAAATAGGTCATGCATATTGTATTTGACGCGTCCAGGGCCACGACAGCGTCATCTTTGACGTCACTTTTTCTTTATTAGTTTGTAATTTTTTCGTCAGAGTTGTGCTCATTTTATGTTGTTCATGTTGTACGCCAATTTTGATTAAGAAAAAAAAGAGTGGTTTTTACTTTTCATCCCTGTTTTTTCCAACGATAATAGATGCTGTTTTTAATGAGTATACATTTTTAATGAAGTTTTTGCTCTTTTCTCTTATAATATTTTCATAGATATGTCCTTGTAAGAGTTAATTTTCACTTATTTCGGTGTAACTTATCGCTTATATTCTTGTTTATCACCTTATATTTACTTACATGCTATTTACAGGGTCACTTCATATATATTTAAAGTGTATAAACATACACATAAGACAACTCTTATTACTTTTCTTTTGTTTGTCTGTGTCGTATTACGCCATTATTTAATTTGATGTAACATTATTCATACAACCGTACTTCTTACTTTATCTAATTATTATATTTTATATATTACAAAGATAATTTTACTCATGACTTTCTTCTTAGTTTTTGTTTCGAGGATGAATAAGAGCTTCATAATGTAGAGGTTTAATATTTAATATGTATTGGTTAATTCAACTACGGAGAAGATATTGTATTGTCAAGTACTTTAATATTAGACTCTCGTTTACCCATTGTGGCTTGATATCTTTTTTAGTGGTGTTATGGATAAAAAGAGCCTTATATCTTACTTTATCCATGTAAAATGAATTGTAGAGCAAGACGCATTGAGTTAAGTGTTACATGCCAAGTTAATACGAATCACATGGTAACTAAAAACCATCTGCCCGTCAAAATTGAGATAAGACGTATTGTACAAATAAAGCAAGCTCGTAAAAAGGGGAGACAAGGGGAGCTTGTACGTCGTTTATGTGCGCGTGTCTGTATTAGCTTTAAAGGATTCTGATATAGAATACGGCCAGTCTCATTGTAAAATTCATGGATGTATGAATAAATAGTTACTTGCTCATTATTTGTTCAACTCTGATAATGTATGCGAATTTAAAATTTGTAATTTACACATTACTTCATTATGATCAAAATTGATTGTGAAATCCTCAGAAAAATGAATTTCGAAATTTGTAAACTTGCTATTACAATTGAAATTGTATTTGGCTTTCTTATATTGCTGATACGAGCTTTCATCATCACTGACCCAAGATCTCAATCACACTTGTCAGAAAATGTGATTGGTACTGTTGTATTGTTATTTCCAATTATGTGAAATCATAACATGTAACATTATCGTGCAACTGTTAACGCAGTCTGCAAGAACTTCGCTCATTGGTTGACCTAATGCAACCAAAGGCCTCTTTTACTCGCTCATATGCTATAAAAACGATTATTCAAGAGGAAAAGTCGCTCTTTTTACGTCTGTCACCTGTCAGAGCCAAGAGTTGACTAAAACTTTAGAACTCTCGCGACTGGTAAGTACCTTATACTCGTAAGGCTTAACGTGTTGGTTGAGGCCACTCGAGTGCGTATCAAGAACATCAATAGTATTGGACTACGCTAAGGAGCGAGGTACAGCAAATGAGGCCCGCCGAAAGTAATTCCAGTAATAGCAGAGAAAGCAGAAATCGCAGCATCCTACTGGCTACAAACTCGTTCGCGTAGTTTAGGAAGACACTGACGATTTCAGCACGGAACATTGGGGACGTCCAAAGCAGCAGTAGCAATAATCAGTGATCGATAGAATATAATATCAGTAATAACATTCACGCTGAACAATGTTAAAGAGACCTAATTAAATTGTATTTAAAGAAACAAGCTATTATCAAATTGCATTAAAGAAAAATACATTAATTACCTATATTATTTAAATAAAGATCATTATTAAATACATAAAGAACAAATAAAGCTCCAGAGCTGAATTCTAAGAACCTCACAAATGACACTTAAATAAATCAGTTAAGACCATACTTTAAACAAGTCCGGTCATAACAAATTGGCATCCCCCATGTGCTCTCAAAATTTTTGTTTTGTTAAAAAAAAAAAATTACTATTACTAATGAAACAAATTGAATATGAATAAATAAATAAATAAAATAAATAAAGATGCCCAGAAATACTTGAGAAAACCCGTCAGTGGAGGACTCTCTAATACAATAGTTTTTAAATGTCTTACAAGGATTAAGTACGACTAATTTGTTATTGTGCATGTATCAAGCATCGCAACACGTACCTTTTTCTGACAGGTACTCGACTCCCTTAAAAGACTTTTTATAAGATGTAGAAAAAAGACAAATTCTAATAACAGCTGCTTAAGAACCTATGTACTTTTGTACAGTTATTTCTAGACTCTAATGGCAAAGCTCAAGAGAGCTTAGTAGTTTTTACTTTTGCATCAATGGATCAGTTAAGAAAACATTTAAAACAATAATTTTCACCAACCAAATTATATCATGAACACATGGCAGAAGTTTTAAATACTACAATGAAAAAAAAACGAAGCAGTTTGAAATTTTTATCATAGACTAATTTCCTTTACAAAAACTACGTTAACATACCTTTTTACCGAATTGAATTATGAGAAACTTAAGACAACACAAAATCCACAACTTGAAAAATTAACGCTACAAACGTTCATTAATGGTTGACCTGACTCGTGAAAATTAAGTATAGCACTTTCGAAACCCAAAGATAATAATGAAGCTTTGAAAGCTGCTTCCTTACTGAACGCACTTGCCCACCAGTACACAAAAAGGCCAA